GACCAGTCATAGTGGGTAAAGTCAATGTCGAACGAGCCCAGAGTCTCGGACAGCTGCTTCAAGACTGCAATGGCCGCATCTACCACTTCCGGGCCGATGCCGTCGGCGGGGATAGAGGCGATGCTGTAAGATTTGGAAGCTGGAAAAGCCGAGGGAGACATGGTGTGATATAACTCTTGGGTCGAAGAGAGATCAAGCTGTAGTGTGATTGGTATATCCAAATGTGAGTACAACTTCTTTAATTTAAGTTCGTAATGTCAACTCAATGCTCAAATTGGTTTTCTGATTTTGCCAAAACTCATCTCAGATCTCCAGATCTTCATATACGCCCATAGTAGTTCGCCATCGCCTGGTCTCGTGTGGGGGAGCCGGACTTGTTCAAGTCCGGGGCACCAGTAGTGGACTTGCTTTGCCCGCTCTGGACGCCCGGACAAGATTTGTCCGGCGAGCCATTTTCAGCCGTGGACTTGTCGAGAGTCGATGGGCCGATGCATTTGCGTCATGAGGTTTGACGAGTTTGACATGTCTATTCTGTCGTGGACTTTTTCATCGCATGAGTCTGTCTTGTTTTCCCCCCCTCTTTCGGGGCTGCTTCATGTGTGAGCTTGTAAGTTCCGAGGTTGACTTGGTAGACTGTAATCAAAATACGGCGGCCAACGTTTATACTACACGCAGCTCAAGGCGGCGCTTTGGTCCTTTGCGATTAGATGGAAGAATCCCGACATATTGACAATAACAATCGCATTGTATAAATTCATATTTGTTGCTTCCGTGGACGAGTTGTGTCATCGAGGGTCGCTTGCGCCTTGCTGCTACTCGTGAGGTTACTGGCATATAGCGGTTTAGGCCACTATAATATTCGGCACGAACCTCCCTGGGCGGCCATCCACAGCGCCACAAGAAGATCACCACTGGTCAACTTCGCAAATTTATCATTGAATAAAAAGAAGTGTTTGTTCGGAAAGATCTTGAAAGCTCTGAAAGCTGATTTTTGAGCCCTTTCATAGTGCTATATTTGCATATTACAAAGTTATTTAAAGGAGAATGGCATATTTAGATACCGCACAAGCCGATGGTCAGACCCAAATGATAACAGTCACAAATGCAGTGCAAGACCGACGAGCGAAGGCAACCTTCCGTCGATTATCTCATTTCGTTGTGGCGAAAGCGCATTCAAATACAACAGGCCGAGATGACCTACCTACCCACTGTAAGCCGATGATTCGATTATACACAAACTTCGGCCCTCGCGTGGCCTTGATATATGCAACCGTGCTGCCGACAATAGTTGCTATTGGCGGAATGGGAACCACCATTTAGCAATGCTTCCCTCGGTACCACGCGAGGAATATATTGAGCCCAGGCTTCATTCGGGTTGCATTTACCCCGGACTGATCCCCAGCGCTCTCCAAATTGGGTCATGACACCATCCAGAAGTTCGCATAATGGCGGACCATTGAAAATTGTACATAGGTCAACGGCGATGGGCTTTCTGCCGATTCACTGTGTTCAAAAACGACAATACGGTTATACGAAGCTGTTCAAACATGGCTTGGTCTGTGATCTCTCGCAAAACGGTCTTATCCGTGGGAATATTCCCAATACTCGCCTCTGCCCTGATCGACAGGCAAAGTGTAGTATCCCAATTCAACGTCATTCGCACAAGTCTCATCGACAATGAGACGACGCCTCTACAGGTTGGCAACGGTAACTTTGCCTTCAACGTCGACAACACGGGGATGCAAACATTCTTGCCTTTCAACACACTTTCCAGCTGGGCGTGGCACAATGATTCCTTGCCAACAGATGGGTACAATTTCTCTATTCAACGTACAAAGAAATCCTAACAGAATCTGACATTATACTGTACTAGTGAACAATTGAGCGACTACCATGGCGTGCCCATGCTGACGCACGGGAGAAATGTTTCTTACGATCTGCCTGATCCAGATCTTCCAGCCGTCTCGCAGTGGCTCATCGCCAATCCAAACAGAATCAATCTTGGCCGCATAGGCCTCAAGTATAAAGGGAATACTCTTTCCGCAGCAGATATCACCGACCCACACCAGGAGCTGGATCTGTGGACTGGCACAATCACGTCAACGTTTGTGGTCGACGGTACGGACGTTCAAGTGGTGACACGGGGCGACTTCGATTCAGACGCCGTCGCATTCGACATATCATCGACGCTCATCTCGGGCGGCGATCTTGAGGTGGAGCTGGACTTTCCGTATCCGCCCATCCATAGCACTGCGTACAAGTACGAAGTGTTTGTCGGGGTTTACAATTTTCCCCTGAACCACACCACGGAGATCGTCACTGTCGACGGAGAAGATGCTGCAGCGCACATATACCATGAGCTGCAGGAGACCAATTACTATCTCAATCTGCGTTGGCCGTCAAACTCTTCCTTGGCTCTGTCTCGCGACGAGCCTCAAGGCTCAAACACAACGACAGCACACCGATATACTTTGGGCTTGGGGGCGAGTGCAAACACCACCAATGATTCCATCTCATTCACAGCCCATTTCTCGCCGGACAGAGCCGTGGCCGCCCTGCCGTCAGAAATCGAAGAAAAGAACACTGCTGGCTGGAACGATTACTGGGGCAACGGGGGCTTCGTCGACGTGACAGCCTCCTCCAATCCCAACGCGACCGAACTGCAGCGCAGAATCGTGCTGTCGCAGTACCACGTCCGGGTCAACAGCGCGCCCACGGCGCAGTCGCCGCAGGAGAGCGGACTCATGAACAACGGCTGGTACGGCAAGTTCCACTGCGAGATGTTCGTCTGGCACAATGCGCACTGGTCGACCTGGGGCCGGCAGCAGCACTTTGACGACATCTTTCCCGCCGTGTACGAGGCGCTGCTGCCGACGTCGCTGGCCCGCGCCGAGGGCATGGGCTGGGCGGGCGCCCGGTGGCCCAAGATGACGCAGACGGTGACGGGGTCGAGTGCACCTGGTGGTGTCAATGGGCTGCTCATGTGGCAGCAGGTATGTTCACAAGTTTTTCTTCTCTGCTTGCATAACTAAGATGTACCTCTTGCAGCCTCACGTCATGTACCTCGCCACCTTGGCTTACCAGGCCTCGCCTACTGTGGCGACACTAGAGCGTTGGGATGAAGTCCTCACCGCTGCGGCCGATTACATGGCCTCATATGCTTGGAAGAACGAGTCTTCGGGATATTACGATCTCGGCCCACCGTGAGTTTCTGGGTCCCATCTTTGGACCATTTGGGTTTGCTTCTGACGTTTCACGTTATCAGTGCGTACGGTGTCACGGAGAACACGCCGCCAACGGAGTCACTCAATCTTGCCTACGAGGTCAGTCGATTCCAGAGATGTTCAACGAACCTCAAGTCATTTCTAACGTGACACAGGTAGCCTACTGGCGCTATGGCTTGGACGTCGCCCGGGATTGGAAAGAAAAACTCGGCCAGGAAGCTCCCGAGGCATGGACAACTGTGGCCGAGAACCTTGCACCCCCACCGCAGGTCGACGGGCTGTATACAGTTTACGAAGGCCTGAACTCGTCCTGGTGGAACGACACGTCCTTGAACGGGGACCCGCGCTCTTTGATTATGCTGCAGGTGAGCAAGTTGCCAATGAGCCATCTGCTCTTGTACTGGAACTCCAGCCAGACAGTAGTTTTTACTGACAATCTTGCTCGGTCCAGGGAATACTCCCAGACACCCCGGCAGTCGACCCAGAAGTAGCGCTGAGGACAGCGGACAAGGTCTGGGAGGTTTGGGGCGATGCGGACATTCGAGGCTGGGGCCGTCCCGTGCTCGCCATCAACTCGGCGCGCATCGGAAACCCCGAGCGGGCAATTTACCATCTCACAGCCTACGACTATTGGCAGTTTGATGATGCCGGTAACGTCCCAATTCAAAGCACCAAGTGTCATTGCTAAATATTGATCGTCTTCCTAGGTTTTGCCGTCCGCGGAGGAGATGGAGGCACGCCTCCTCCGTTTATGCCCGGAAATGCTGGCTTTCTATATGCCGGTAAGAACACACTTCAAAAGTCTTCGCAATATGCTTGGTACTGACGAAAGGGATGCACATAGTCGCTTACATGGCAGCAGGCTGGCAGGGATCGGAAGGCGACGCTCCTGGATTCCCGAAAGACGGAAGCTGGTCTGTCGAGTACGAGGGATTGCTCAAGGCGCCTTGAAGAGAAGATCACAGTTGTAACCAATACAAATTGTCTTGGATGGCATATTGATCGAATCGGCAGTGCCTCAACGAGTGATGCTGTCAAAACACCCATCTAACCTAATTACCCTGTTGTCCGCAAATCTACACTCAGAACTATTTTGAAAATGACTCGAGATGCGTCCAGGGTATATAAACTATTTAGGAGCTCTTATTTCAACAAGCAAAACCTGGTCGGCGACGATCGAGTCAGTATGGGTCCGATGGTGTAGTTGGTTATCACGTCAGTCTAACACACTGAAGGTCGGCGGATCGAGCCCGCCTCGGATCATTCTTTTGCCCATTACACACATCCTGTAATTGAACTTTTTTTTTAATTCCACGCAAGTTTTGAATTCAAACCATATGTTACATGCTATTTCTGTCTGTTTCTTATGACATAACTGTTTAATTTGATGGACGGTATTGTATTTATTGGTCGTCAATCAGCGTCCATGGGCGCTGGTTGTGTGTGCTATGGTCATACTCCACAATATGGTCCCGGTGCAGAAATTTTTTTATACTAGCGTCCCAACCCGCTGGAGTTGTGAGACAGCATTCAATCCATTCAATGATTTCTACGAAATCACGCTTGCCATGCAAGTAAAACGATCAAAACGAACTGTGTAAAAAGTAAATCGTAAAGGACTGGAAGAGGATACCGCAGCTATACTTAGAAGCGGGCGTACACAAAAGCACTACGCATGATGAAATGGTCAAAAAGAACGATCTTATTACAAACAAGTTCCTAGAGAAACGGCAAAAGCAAACAGAAAAAAAAGTCACAGCTCGGAAGCTGCGTACCAGGTCAGTCGGGGATTCGAACCCCGGTTACCGGAAGGCGTGATGCTCCAGAAGATCTGAAATCAGAATCCGATGTGATAACCAACTACACTAACCGACCTTGGTTGTTGAGTGGCGACGAGCTTATTACATCTTACATCAGTGGGGCCAAAGCATAAAGCCGAGAAAGCGAGCTCTGAGGACCAGGATGTCCTAGAATCGGCTATTCATGGCATACAAAACACAAATAAAGTACAAACAAAGTCATGCAAAAACAAATACGTGAAAATACACTAAGTACACGGTTGCATTGTCGAATGTTGCTATTCCCAGTGAGCTTTCTCATGCTAGTCCACGAATTATGTCGGCAGCCTACAAGTAAACCCGAATTAGCACGATACGCAAATGTACTTCTTACAGAAATCACACGAATCGAATGACTTACCTTCTCTGCCACGGCGTAGACGGTGGTCATGGTGTGACTCGCCGGCAGCAACGGCATGACGCTGGCGTCCACGATGCGCAGCCCCTCGATGCCGTACACCTTGAGCTCGCCGTCGACCACGCCGCCCTCGTTGCGCGCGCCCAGCTTGCAGCTCCCCGCCGGGTGATACAGCGTGCTGGCCGACTGCCGGACGAAGCTGGAGAGGTCCGCGTCGCTCGTGACGTTGGCGCCCGGCAGGACCTCGACGGGCTGCAGTGGGCCGAGCGCGTCCGCGCCCATCAGCGTCCGCACGAACTTGATGCCCTCGACGAGGATCTCGACGTCCAGCGGGTTGCTGAGTAGAGCCGGGTCGGCCGAGGGCGCGTCGAAGATGTCGCCGGACGGGGCATTGACGCTGCCTCGGGAGTAGGGGTGCTCCAGCCCGAGAACCACGGCGCCGTCGGCCCAGATCATCTCGAGGACGGCCGATCCGGTCGATCCCAGTTTCTCGGTCAGGACTTCGTGCTGGCGCTTGTATCCTGACACAACCTCGGCGGCCGTGCCTTTGGGCAGATACAGTGACAGATCTTGCGCGGTAGCTTCGGTTTGAATGGTGCTCCATTGCTCTGTGAAGTTCTGGAGGGGAAGAAAGACGAGGAAGTCGCCAGTCGAGTCGGCATAAGGTCCCGTTTGTTCTGTATCGTACAGCTCGCGCGACTCAGCTGCATATGTTGCATTGGTCGTGAGATTGCTGGCAGTCAGAGGCGCGACGACTAACACATCACGTTAGCTGGGGCGCATTGGATAGAAGGGGTCCGGCATCACTAACTCGTGTTGACGGTCGTCAAGAGGATGTGATCGTGGAAGTTCTGGCCAACAGCTGGCAGGTCGACGATCGTGCTAACGTTGATGCTAGACAGGTACGCCGCGTCTCCGATGCCTGAGACTTGGAGAATCTGCGGTGTGAAAATGGCACCTGCTGCCAGAATGGCCTCCTTTTGGACAGCGACGGACGATCTTGAAGCGTTGCGACCAGATGCAAACTTGCGTAATTTTGTAAGCAGGGAACTGTTTGGTAATTGCCCATAGATCTTCTTACCTCGACTCCAGTGACGCACACACTGTCTCCAGTTCCATTGCTAAGGATACGTGTGACCTGCTGTCCAGTGATCAGGTGAAGATTGCTGCGAGTTGCTACCGTGTCATAGTATGCCTCTCTTGCAGAGGATCTGGTTGCTGTCTCGGGGTCCTGGTTGTGTGGAGTATAGAAGCCTCCAATAGCGTTGCCATTCGCCTGATCTGGAGAAATTGATATTCCAACCTCTTCGATAGCATCCACGAAAACCTCTGGGTACAATATTAGCCAAGTCAAGAACAAGAGCGGCCCGCCTGGAGACTTACTAGTTGTTGGCCAGATGAATGGCGCATCTAGGCAACGAGAAATGATTAGTTCCATACCCTTTCACGGATACTGGATTCGAACTGAGAGACGGCTTTTGGAACGTATATAGCAAGTTTAATACCACTTTGAAAGGACACTTACAGCTGACATTCATATAGCCGTCGTATCCATGGGCGGAGACATCATAAGTGATATTGAACTCGGATGCAATCTGCGCATCTGGTGGCGTGAAAATCTCGTTCTTTACATTGGAATCACCAAATACATTAGCAAACAAGAAAAATAGGCATCTTGGATCAGACGCGGTCTACTCACCTTCTTGAAGTACGGCAACAGAGCTTCCCAGCCCCATCCTTGGTTTCCCAGGTCCTCCCATCGATCGTAATCAGACTCTGAGCCTCGATCAAAGACCATGCGATTGAGCTTGGTCGATCCGCCAACAATCTTGCCCTGAGGAATCGAAATGGAGTTGTTGGCTACATATTCTGTTGGCGCATATGATATGTTCCAGTCGTATTTGGTACCAATTGCACCGCCAGCTAGACCGGGAATCGTCACAATATCTTCTCCCTGGTCGCTATTTGAAACAGTCAGTTTTTGGGTGTTCAGGATAGATCAGCAGACTTACAATTCACCAGCCTCTATGACGAGAACAGTGGTTTCTGAAGCAAATTAGCAGGTTTCTTGTTACACGGAGCCGTTTTTACAATCTGCTCACCATCATCTTCGCTGAGACGATTGGCTACCGTGAGACCACTTGCACCAGCCCCAATGACGACGTAATCATAAGCCGGGAGCAGGTCATCTCGGCGATTGACGATATGGCCTCGAAATGCAGGATGAGCTGCAACGAGTGAGGCAGACTGTGCCAGTCTCGCGAATGTGGTATCTGTCTTCATTCTGTCGTACTGCTTGATGTTACGAAGAGCACAGAGAGTGGCCTGGAATGACAGTGACGATGAGGCGACATGGTGTTCATTTTGACGTCAATTGGCATGACCAGGTGGCATCGAATGCCCTCGGTTCGTCGGCTGGGTGCAACACGGCACTTCCAATCAAGAGAAGTGCCATGTTCTGTTCCTGAGCGTACCTGCATATTACCGATCAAGTTCAGCGACTTCAGCGAGTTCCGATCTTGCTTTGTTATAACAGGCAAGACAACACTTGATTATGGGACCCCCGTGGAATCAGATCCAGGGGTATATCGTATACAGGGTCACATCACCGGGACGTTGGCCACCAATCAAGATTGATCCCCTGTGTCATGCAAATGGGTAAATCTGGGCTGAGCATCTTGTCAGGTCTTGGCAATGACGCTTTTCCTGCTGATAAAAACTGACAAAGCAAAACACCACATTGCAACTTGCGACAGCTACTAAACCATGATATATTATTCTTCCACCAAGAATGGAAAAGTCTGTGAGTCGTTGGCTTCGGAGCGGAAAGGCCAACCTAATCTGGTCTTTGATCTGCCTAATTCAGCATTGGAAGAATCCCTGGTTCTGGCCCCCCTGGGCAGTCCTATCGGCTTACCCAAGCTGATCGCCAAGCCTCAAGTTGGCTCCGGGCCCAATCTCGGGCAACTGAGTATACGGAAGACACATGCGCAGATGGAGCCATGAGAGATAATTTACCCGATGGAGTCGGGCCGGCATCCACTCTTTCAGAAGTATATGCTGACGGTGTCCTGCAAAGTAGTGGTGGTCTTTCCTCGTGCCCGCCGTGTAACCTGCCGAGACCTCAGCCCGAATCTCGGGAGTAATGGTTCACCTGCCACCGCAGCTGCCACTGATGCTTTTGTGCCGCTGCAGAGAGGAAATAGTATGACCACAATGGCGCCATCGCTTTGACTTGAGCACGTCACCAGGACTATTACAGGCGGTAAGCCTATCACTGCACAGAATATCCCCTATTCGATATTGCCGACGCAAAGAAGATAGGCATGTCACGGAAGGGCGAAATCATTTCCCCCACATCGGCATAGGCATTCGGGGTCAAATAGGCTTAGTGGGCAGTCTTCCTTGCCCCTCAGGTGCAAATGCCCAAAACAGCAAGCGAGGTCATATGATTGTCGTCAAAGCTGCAGACTGCAGTTGGTTCTTACAACAGGGGATATAGTCTCCTCAAAACGGCTTTAGCGAGCAGTGAAGAAAATAAGAACACCGACGAAACTTCCGAATGCCAATTCTATAATTGTAACACCACGAGCCAGACTGCGGCGCAAAAAGTCTTGAAGTATTCATTGATCCCCAGCGATGACCCACAGATCAGCGTCCGGACGTCCGTATGGCGACTCCGTGCCGTCAAGGTCCGTCTGACGCCTCCATTTTACCTTTGCGCCGCTGACTCTGTCTGGTGCTGCACGCAAGCACTGGCTATATTCCTTTTTTGCTGATCCATTGGTTATCGTCGCATCATGCGGGAGGGTACAGCCTCGGTCCCGGGCTCGGTGCCGTGTCAGCAAGTCTATCTGTCGGCGCCATGTTAGCTGAACGATTGTGGACCCTGCATCCTCCTCTTCATACGCCGCAGACAGGAGTTATCGACGAATCGCAGAACCGACAACTGTCGGGACTGCAGATTTTATAGATGAAGCAAGCATGTATGTTCACTAAACAAAAACTAAGTCGCCTATCGTCATCCCAACTGTCAGCTCGCATTCTCTTGTCGCTTGTCCGGTCCGTTATGGCTATGGGGGATAAGCTGAATACTAGGGTGCGCTACGGACTACTCCATGTTTGACCATAGAAGAGCCCGATGCTCTAAAGTTTGAAGTATCACTCGCACCTGTCCCGTCCACGCGGACGTTAAAAATTTGTTTTGAGCCAGGCATTTATCTTTTCACAATTTCTCGGTCGAGTTTGTTCTACCTATCATTCTTGTTTAATTCATAACAACTTGCTACTATTGCTCGCTATACATTTGCTGTTGACCATGGGTGATCTACCAACGAGGGAGCTGGACATAATAATTCTTGGCGGAGGCATAGCAGGCTTGACGACAGCTCTAGCACTAACAAAGTTCGCCCCGAGCGACGCCGTTCCCAACATACACATCTTCGAGATCAGACCAGAGCCGGCCACGATTGGCGGCGCCGTGAACCTCACGCCCAACGCCCTGCGCATGCTCGATCACCTCGGGGCCTACGACGTGATCAAGCAGAACGGGTACGGCAAGGATATTGACGAGCTCGAGGTGTACGACATCTACTCGACCAAGCTCGCCGTCTCGAGCTTCAAGGGCGCCCACGGCAAGGGCATCGGCAGCCCGCCGTTCAAGGCGCTGCGCATCACCC